CGGTAAAAGTATAGGCATATCCATACTCTATTCTAAATATTTGTTATATCTAGAACTTAGACCCTCGATTTATAGCGTACAACTTGAGCACTAGAACCCTCCAAGTCTCAAATTAGAAGGCAGAAGGGAAGGAATCTTATTCCAAACAGTGTAAAATATGGTTAAAAAACACTTAGGAATCTATAGTTTTTAATAAAAACCAAATCATCATTACAGTCATCTAATACGCATGCAGTCCAATCTGTCAGTCACGCTTCGAGATTTTGGAATGTTCTTCCAAAAGATGATTGGATGGAATATCTTCTTTGAGTTCACCAGGGGTCGTCCCCACAATACTCAGTACAAATAATGTAACTTACCGTTTATCAATCAAATTAATTTTTTTCTGATATACTTCACTAACCAGAGTTCATACCTTAATTTTTAGGAAGCAGATAGTATTAGCAAGAGCAGTGTATTTACAACTGAAGGACATCTGGAACTCAAAACAACACCAAGATCGGAATTTTCAATACAAATGTCAAGACAGTTGTACTGTATGGGACAGAAACCTGGAGAACTACGAAAGCCATCATTCAGAAGATACAGGTGTTTATTAACAGGTGTCTACGCAAAATACTTCGGATCCGTTGGCCTTACACTATCTGCAACAACCAACTGTGGGAGAGAACAAACCAGATCCCAGCGGAGGAAGAAATTAGGAAGAAGCGCTGGAAGTGGATAGGACACACATTGAGGAAAGCAACCAACTGCGTCACAAGGCAAGCCCTCACATGGAATCCTGAAGGCCAAAGAACACATTACGCCGAGAAATTGAGATAGACATGAGAATAATGAACAAGAATTGGATGGAATTAAAAAAGAAGGCCCAGGACAGAGTAGGTTGGAGAATGCTGGTCGACGGCCTATGCTCCATTAGGAGTAACGGGTGTAAGTAAGTAAGTAAGCCAGTATTAGTTCCAAGATAAACATTAAAAATTACACTTCACTACCAATCATTTGCTAATGTAGACAAAGAGAAATACTCTACCTTCATCATTTTCAAAAGCCCAATAGCATCATTAACGATAAAAAGAACAATTATTCAGAAAAATGGGAAAAAATTGAGTTCTACATAATTAACTGCCTACGTGTAACTGATCACAGTGATCCAACTGTATGCACTAAATGTTAATTTTTAATTCAATTTGTCTTAACTAAGAAATCGATGTATAGCTTCGCGATGATACTGATATCGTCACTTTGACTCTGTCATTTTATCCTGTTATTATGTGAAGTGGGCCAACTTAAACTTGTAAATATTTGTAACAGATCATAACGTTGTAAAATTTATACAACACTAAAAACATTGTCGCTTCGTTGGTAAGAAGTGAAACAATACCGCGATTGCCAATGTCAGGAAAATAGTTTTCTTACAGGACTACTGTTCTGACAGCAGGTGTTCGTAATCTGATACTCATACACGATGTGCTACGCGTTAACCTAGCAACTAACTACTTGGACGAGAACAAAAGAGTGAACGAGAGAGTGCATTGGACTAGCGAATAAAATGCACAAATACTCATTCATATATATACCACTCTGATCCTTAGGAAACCGATCTCTCCTGCTGAGTCAGTGTTCGGAAGGAAGATTCGACCTTCATTCGATAGCATGCTCACTGTAATTTAAACACTTGACCCACCATGTAATTTTCTGTGTGAGTTTGATTGAGCACATGTCATTTTTTATTCTATTCTCCCATTGGTTGTAATACACACACAACCAATAATTTATCCATACTTCATTAACACAAAAAGATATATGGATTTTTAAAACACACACACTCTTGGTTTCATCATGAGCCTGCTTGCTGATTTCATCAATATCTAACAATAAAATATCTCTACAACTGGTGTTCAGGCTTCTGAATAATCTCGAGTAAATCCGTAACTCTACTAGGAGATTTAGCCAGCGTTAAATACTCAGTTAACGGGATATCATTTATTGGAGTCAGATATAGGGGAAATTTGCCTCTACAAATACATTCTACATTTCGTCCTAGTATTGGACTCCTCAGCAGTGCACATCCACGATCCCGCACCGTTGGATGCCGGCTCACTGGCCTAATGGTTAAATGCTCGCGCGCGAAACCAGTAGGTCCCGGGTTCGAATCCCGCGGGGTGCGGGATCGTGGATGTGCACTGCTGAGGAGTCCCATACTAGGACGAAGCGGCCGTCCAGTGCTCCCAGGTTTCCCATGGTGGTCTAGCTTCAACTGACTCATGATTTCAATCAGTGAAATTTCTAAAATCTCCACAAACCCCTTCTGATAACATTATAAACTTAGTATTCATCTTTATTATTTCTTACTAATTTCACATAATTATCTAATGGAATTTACAATTGCACTATTTCTTCCAACTTATTCATTTTTATTCTTTGTTATGTCCTTTGGTCTGTCTACCCACTTTTGGTGCTGAGGATACTTATCTAATCCAGATTAAGACCTTGGCGCGATAGGCTGACCGACCTAACCTTGAGGCTAGTACGCGTGAGTTCGAAGTGAAGTAGAGAGATTGGCTGACAAGCACGAGAATGAGAGAAGACAAGACAACTGGAACACCACTCGATCTATTCCCGATTTCTGGTTTCTCTCCTGATTTCGGATTAGTGTAAAAATGTACATGAATAAATAAGTGACTAACCCGACCACAACGTACAGTAATTAGGACAAATACAATTACGTCCAAAGCTAGGAATCAGAGTACAAAATAGGGTGCAAAATACAATGTTTAAATTATAATAGCTTCGGAACAAAAACAGGTATGGCAATGAACCATACATCGGACGAAAGCTTATGTTCCGTAGAATAGATTAGGGATAAAAATAAATGTTTTACAAGGTTTGAATAAAATGGAATAACGTCCCGAAAGACAGCTTTCGTAGTTTGTCAGGGCTTCTTGATTTCCTGTTCAAAACATTGTGATTATGAATCTTTAAGAAACAAAATTTCATTTTAACTTATAAGCTGATCCCATTGTTAACAAAGCATATTATTCATCTCGGCAGTAAACAGTTGTATTTGATCAAACAATAGTAAACTTCAAAAGGTTATATATTTTGAAAACAATATACTTTACACTAAAACCTAATCACTATTTGAATTATTCATTTCAACTTAATGTCATTCATAGAACCTGAAAAGAAGTTCTTGATGATAGGACGAGAATAAAAGCCAATTGATTTACTAATTATGAATTTTGTTCAACAATACTTCTGTTCTCACTCAATATGATGATCATTCAGTGTAGTAGTTGTTAGATTTGCTCGTATGATATTTTATTCTGTATCATATACGATATTCTTGTATTTAATTGACATGGAGAACTGTCATCTGCTTTTACAACCTCAAGTGGTGTACGTCAAGGCTGTCCACTTTCTCCAATTTTGTTTAACTTCATCATAGATCTACTGATGGAAATAACATTCTCGTCGACTGAATTCTCGAGTATTGATCTCCTATCAGGAGGTCTACTTATCGACTTAGAATACGCAGATGACATAGTCCTGTTTGGTGAAGACGCTGATAAAATGCAGGGCCTTTTGGTAGCACTAGACAACAATGCCAGAATGTTTGGAATGCCCTTCTCTCCCTATAAATGCAAGTTGTTGCTTCAGAACTGGTCTGCTTCAATACGTGAACTAAGGATAGGGAGTGAAGTAGTCGAACGCGTTGACTGAGATGGTTGAGCCACGTGTTGCCTATGCCTGAAAACCTATTACCACGACGCGCAATGCTAACCGGTGTTGAAGATGGTTGGAAGAAAGTTAGGGGAGGCCAAACCAAAAAGTGGCATCAGTTCTTAAGGTCACTAACTTTTGGTCTGAGCCATGTTGGTAGATAAAGACTACTTGGTTGGGGTCTGCGTGTCTACCGTAACCGAGGATTGGAGATTGTGTGTTATATGGCTTAGAATCGATCACAATGGCGTCGGTGTATACACTCTCTGTCTTTCCTAAAACCATGAAATTAAAATTGCTTTATACCTTTATTTCTACGAACTAATCCTTTCTTCTTGTACTATATCCTAATATGCAGTCTTTCTTTTATATATTACTAGCATTGAAGTAACTACTTCTATGGATCCAGTGTTCATCTTGTTGTGTTAATGAGGTATGGCAACTTGAACCGATGCATATATGTGCCTGATCCTACATTGTAGCTGACTGACTGTACAATCAACACATAAATGAGTGTATTTTTGACTAGATCATCATCAAGTTTTGGGGGTTAATAAATCTTCACTTATACCAATCTTTATGTTCTTACTTTCACGTCCCTCGTTTCGAGTATAAGTGATAAGCGTTTCTGACACAATAATCAGTGACGACCAAATATAACCAGTAGCATTCAATCGACAAGACATGATCAGTTGATAAGAATATTCTTCCTTCACATATACATATACATATATATAGAGATAAGTCTTTAAATACATTATTCAATCAATAAAAAAAACAAGGCAATTTATTGGACATCAAGAAAAAACAAAAAACAATCTCCTGAGTATAATTATCGCATCTATGGTTAATAACTATAAAAATAATATTAGCAATAATAATAATAAGTAAATAAGTAGTACATACATACATTAAGTATTTTTCTTAATAAAAAATAATAACAATAATTGAGCATTTTAAAGAAGAGAAATTATTGAACATATTAATGAGTTTAAGATATATATATGCTGGTCATTCTCATTATTCACTTATAATAATAATAATGATTATTATTATTATGATTATTATTATCATTATTATTTTTATTGTTACTAAGGTCAAATAGTAATGATGTAACAATAGAAAAATGTAATAATTTACTTTCGTTTGTTTGTTTTTAGTTTCCAGTAAAAAGAAAAGATTAAAAATACACCAATAAATCAATAATAATCATAACAACAACAACAACAACAAAATAATGATTATTAGAAGAAGAAAAAAAAGAATACATCTAAAGATCACAGTTTATATTGGGGTAAGGAAGCAAATTTTGCATTAACATAAATACCTGTTGCTTTCCAAAGATCATCATTCATTGGATATTGAGAAGTGGTCAATTTAATATTGGGACACTATAGAAGAAATAATTTTTAAAAACAAAACAAAAACAAATGAGAAATCAAGTTCTACAGGATAGAAAAATAACTTTAAAAATGAATAAATATATTTTTTTAAATGGTGATGATTGAATCAAACTATAATGGATAGAATACTTGTATCTTGAGATCTTACTATAGTAGACAGATTGGTTGGAGAACGTTAAGGTTACTGATACTAGAGTATGATGACAGTGGAGTGTTCCGACCACAGTGACAATCAGTGATAATGATGATGATACCTTCTTCTCATAACAGAAGGAAGACGTTAGTAAAGCTCTATCCTAAAAATATCACTTTTCACCTTAGCTCACGGATTCCTGTCTCTTGTGATAAGGCTTTACAAGTATGGAGATAACACATCATTAGCTATTCTCAAAATCACTTTGTGTGCCTGGACTTCATCATTTGTTTCTTGAGCTCTGTAGTCACCTTCCCAGTTTGCCAATATTGGTACAGTTTTCTTTGCACTTTTTAGAAAAGTCTGCTATCTTCCCTGTAAACTTTCCCCTAATGCATGGGTAATAATGTGTGCATGTTATTCATGTTGACAGATGTAAGTAGTACGTAACACCAATCAGAAGTGGAATGCTTGTCAAAAGAAGACTGAACTGAAAAGCATAGAAAGGAATTGGAATAAAAATAGAATTGGAAGAACCATGAACGATGTGACGGACAACAGATGGAAGATGTGCAAACGAATAATTTAATGTATGATTTTCATAATTTACGAAGACACTAATTTTGCACTAAACAATAAATTGGTTTCTCCCACGAAGTTGTCGTTCATTACAGTAATGCATTCAAGTTTTTATAATTGGAGATGTTAAGTGGTACATCGTGTAAATTCAGTAGTAGTGGAGGGGGGAGTTATATTCATTCACTCAATTCACTTTGAACTGTTAATCCAAGCATACTTTAACTTGCCTCATTTGTTTCTTTGGAATTGGTATTTTTTGAATATATCTTCCTAGTGAACTTGATGCCATTTCTTTCTCAATTCCTTTCATGCGGTTAGCTTCCGCTTAATGATGATGTAATATGTTGGGACTTGGATTGATATATATGTGTGTAAGAGGAATAAAGCTGATAAAAACTAATTAACTGAATGAAAATCATTTCAAAAAATGCAATTAGAGGTCTGTTGCTCTAACTATTTATACTTAGTACATTGGAAACTTAAACAGACTGTGTAAAATGGGAGGACAGAGAATATGAATCATTTTCTATGTCCAATGTTTTCTACTACCATTAACACTGCTATCATTCTAACCATTCGATGATTGGCTTTGTTAATTTTATCACTGTGTTGCGATGTATACATGTTCTAGATCCTACGTTTCTGAATAACTAAATGGTCATTCTCCCAATGACAGCTGATTATCATAAAAATAATAGTAATAATTCAAAGTATGAATAAGAAATTGAATACTTACAGAGCTGTTTTTCACAAATTCATAACCCTGAGAGTTATTGAGGAAAGAAAATGGATTCATATGAAGATTTTTCACTAAATTTTGAATTCGTTTAATTGGAAATAAATGTGCTTGAGTACTGAATACATAGTCATATTCATTCACATTGACAGGATTGGATTCATCGAATAACTACGAAAAAAATCAAATGAAGGAATAAATATAATGGTAATTACAGTGATAATGATTGATAATTTTTCAGGGTTTATTCATAATGTGTTGTTGATATTTGAAAGTGAATTAGTCAACCTTTTATGAATTCAATTAGTTGTTTTATTTCATTTGAACACATAAATACTGGTACAAGAAGGCACCAAATACATATGCGCCAAACAAATCTTATTTGATTTGTGTAAGGGCTGTGATACTACCCGGGTGTCCAAACTGAAGCAGGTGGACTCACTAGGGGGCCACACTCGGATCCTTCGACCTAAAGGTCTAATCCATAAGGAAGTGGGGCAGCGTGAGATGTAGTTCCATGGTAACCAGTAACCAACAATCGGTTCACACGCCATTTGCTCCCCAAGATCCGGGAGCCCATGTGCATCATTGGTTTAGAATCAGGTTCTTTCCTGAGCAGCGTTCCATGAAATTGATCTTCATTGTCGTCATTGACATCATTGGTGGGTGTATAGCATTGGAAACACTCATTGTGGTTACTTCCTTCTTTGTTTTGAAAAATGCTTTGGTGATTCCGGGTTCATGAGATTCCCATTGTTTAAGTGCTTATCGTGCCTCTATGGACAAAATCAGTACAACTCACTGTGTGTGGGAGGTATTTCCTTCATCATGAACGTAGTACAACAACTCTTCCGAATCTAGTCTTTTGTGTCTAGATAGGGTCCAATCGGTTTCATTTATTCCGAACACCAAGTTGTATCTCCTGACTTCCGCAGCTATTTGATTAGTCTTCCCAGACTCCCATATTGTCCGGATATTCCATGTACCTATATTAATTGTTGGTCTAGTTGTTGAAAGGGGCATCGACCTTGTGACTTGAGAAGAATCTCGGCTTCCATTATGAGGCGTTACAACTCTTCTAGATGAAGATCCTTAGACTCCCACGGTAGAGTTTAAATGATTTTTTCTGGTTAGCGTTCATTTAGCAATTTTGTTTTCTACAGGATGTTTACGAAACCCCTCTTCATGCCTCCTCCTTCATCCGGGTTCCGAACCGGCAGCAATCCCAGGAGGGCAACAGGCGGAGCATAAATCGCGCATAAATGTATAAACAGGGCCAATGCCTTACAACGACAACAGTAGTACAAGGAGTATCACCTTCAGTTGCCGTAAAAAATGAAGGACATCTTATCATACAGGAAATTCCAGTAGATAGAAAAGTTCAAATTTACTGGAGGAGAATGACAGTATTGCAGAAGATGAAAATAATTTTTGAAAAACTGAAAATCTTCCATAGTGTGTTATGTTATGACCCGAGTCCAGATACCCAAGTCAAAATATTAATAAACTAGCAAACCGAAGAGTATTGTAATAAATGGAAGCAATACAAAATATATATTTAGGCTGAACTGGTACTACGCCCCAACCGTGAATTCTTGACCTAGTTTATGTATACTCACACTCCATTCAATGATGACTGGGTAAGTCATTATTAATGTATTTTCCAAGATGACCTTAGAAAACGAATATATTACTTACTTACCTACGCCTGTTACTCCTCGTGAAGGAGCATAGGCCACTCACCAGCATTCTCCATCCAACCCTGTCCTGGGTAATCCTTTCCAAATCCTTCCAGTTGTTATTCATCTTTTCATATCTGCTTCTATTTCACGACGTAGTGTGTTCTTTGGCCTTCCTCTTTTCCGCTTCCCTTCAGAATTCAAAGTTAGGGCTTGCCTCGTGATGCAGTTTGACGATTTGCGTAATGTATGTCCTATCCATTTCCATCGTCTTTTCCTAATTTCCTCTTCAGCTGGAAGTTGGTTTGTTCTCTGCCACAGAAGGCTATTGCTGATGGTATCCGGCCAATGGATGTTGAGTATCTTGCGTAGACAGCTATTTATAAATACTTGTACTTTCTCGATTGTGGTTGTTGTAGTTCTCCAAGTTTCAGCTCCATACAGTAGAACTGCCTTGACGTTCGTATTGAAGATTCTCACTATGATATTGGTTGAAAGTTGTTTTGAGTTCCATATGTTCTTCAATTGTAGGAATGCGACCCTTGCTTTGCCAATCCTCGCCTTTACGTCCGCATCTCAACCTCCTTGTTCATCGATGATACTTCTCAGGTATTTATTTATTTATTTCAACACATAGATATTGCTACAAGGAGGCACCAAATACATATGCGCCACACAAATCTCATTCGATATGTGTGAGGGCTATGATACTGCCCGGGTGCCCAAACCGAAGCAGGTGGTTTTCTTAGGAGGCCACACCCCGAGCCTTCGACATGAAGGTCTGATCCACAAGGCAGTGGAGCATCGTAAGGAGATGCAGTCCCATGGTAGCCGGTGACCAACGATTGGTTCATACGCCATTTGTTCCCGTAGGATACTGGAGCCCATGTGCCCCATTGGTTTGGAATCCGGTTAATGCGCCGGACATTCGCTCTTCGTCCTCTCATTATTCGTAAACAACACTCCCGCCACGAGAAGGCAGTGAGTAGGACTTCCCTGGCAGAGGCTATATACGCGTGGCCGTGTGAGAGCATTTCGAGAGGGAGAGCGGACTCTCCCCACTCTCGACAGTACCAGGGCATTTAGGATTCTACATCTTCCAGAGTTTAGCCATCAATCGTGATTGGATTGCTGTTCTTCGTTTTGAATATGAGGACCTTGATTTTCTCCTTGTGTATACTGAGGCCTACTGATGCAGAGACTGCTGCTACATTGGCTGTCTTCATCTGCATCTGTTCGTGTGTACGCGATAGGAGGGCTAGGTCATCTGCCAAGTCCAAATCGTCTAATTGATTCTGAGCTGTCCATTGTATTCCGTGTTTTCCTTCAGATGTCGAGGTCTTCATAATCCAGTCGACCACCAGAAGAAAGAGCAAGGGGGGAAGTAAACAGCCTTGTCTGACTCCGGTCCTTACTTGGAATGCATCTGTCAGCTGTCCTCCATGCACGACCTTGCACTGCAGTCCGTCGTATGAGTTCCGGATAATATTGACAAAAAACGAATATATAGGATGCAATTATTATAACGTCTGAACCTACTATACTGTGGTCTAAAAATTTAAAACTATGACTCTTACAAATTCTTTATTTTGTGTAATTAGAGTTAAATTTCCGTGAAATATTATTACTGTCAATATTATTATTAGCTTTATTCAAGATTATACTTTTGGTAGAATATTTCAACAAGTTTCCGTTTCTTACTTCTTGGTAGATCCTGACGATAAATATTGAGTGATCGCCAGTTAGAAGTTAGCGATCCAGTCAATCGACATGTAAATAACGTACATTCTTGTCGCTGTATATTGCCAGCAACCACGATATCTCTGACTGGATCTTTTGTATCTTGTACAACGAAAGGTTGTACACTTTTCAGAAACGCACTTGAATAGGTTGTGCGATTAATAGCCATAAGGGTTTATTAAAACAAGTAAAATTAGATAACTTGTTGAAACATCTAGATGGTAGCAACAGGTAGCCCAGATATTTAAGCAGGTCGCCATACATTTTCAAACATATTTTATCGTCTTTCAATATGTACAAAAGTCACTGAGAAAACATGCATGAACACGATCAAGGGACAACATCTATTACTTTAAAATGGCAGCACTTAGTAAATTATTTCGTGCACTATCAAGACACGAAGTATAGGATAATTTCAATTGTTCTTCACGAAGTAACCACCTCCATTGCCCGACAAGACACGCACGTTGTCTAATCTATTTTCTATTCAATACTAAACAGATATTTCTTCATTTTACAAAATCTTTTACTCATATGCTAACAGAAATGTTCTTTTTAAGGACAAAATATTTGTGAGTTTGAAGTAAAGAGAACATCAAGGTTAAATGAGTTATAGCTAAATAACTGTATTATTGAGGCCGGATACTATCAACAACAGCCTATTGTGGCAGAGAACAAACCAACTTCCAGCTGAAGAAGAAATTAGGAAAAGACAATGGAAATGGATAGGACATACATTACGCAAATCGTCAAACTGCATCACGAGGCAAGCCCTAACTTTGAATTCTGAAGGGAAGTGGAAAAGAGGACGGTCAAAGAACACACTACGTCGTGAAATAGAAGCAGATATGAAAAGGATGAATAACAACTGGGAAGGATTGCCCAGGACAGGGTTGGATGGAGAGTGCTGGTGGGCGGCTTATGCTTCTCAATGAGGAGTAACAGGCGTAAGTAAGTAAGTAAGTAACTGTATTATTGAACTTACCAAATATAAGTACTTCAATGTTTCACTTAGAAAAAAGCTTTCCATACGATCTTCTTTAGATTTATCAATCACATTATGAATAGTTGCAAATCCACATCTGGGAAACAAAGCAAGCACATTATATTATTATACAGTACTATAATATAATAGTAACATAATGTATCCATTAGCGACTATCTTCAAGAGGTGATTTCTTGAAATTCGAGTGAGAAGTAGAATTCAACCATGTCGGGTGCAAGCTACTTATCCACCAACGGCATCAGAGGATGGTCTACAATATTGCGAATTGACTGATATTTAAAATGTAAATGATTGGACGCCAACACGGATGCTTAAAGGTTAAGTACTCACCCCACAACCCGGATATCCTGGGTTCGATCGCAGGTGATGTTTTAGACTTACACCAATCAGGAGTTTCATACTAGAATAAAACGGCTGTTAAGTACACCCTAGTTTTTAACGGTTACCTAAGCTTATTCTATAAACGACTGGAACTATGATGTATAATATTAAGTTGTTGTAGCATGATAATATTGAACTGATAATTTACAAGTAACCGTAAACAAATAGGGTGAGTGCACATGACAAGCATTTCATTGTCCTCATTAGTATAATCATTATGTTTGTGTTAGGGCTAGGATACTATACAAACAACCGAAAATAAGATAGATAATTTCTCGTGTACACGTTGAACCTAACAGATTCGAGTTGGTCGGATGGTATTTCTATTAGTCAAATAAATATATCCTTATACCCTTAGTCACATCGTAAGACTGACACACATGATGTATATATAGTACCTTATTTTTTTGTGTTGTATTCTATCTTTGCATATTTTTTTGTCAATCAATCTATACTGAGTCGAATACACTAAGTTATTGATTAAGGCGTGTCTCATTCTTGCTTACTTAGTCCGTTTGTGTCAAATTATTTATCACACTAACTTAACGTTATATCAGTTGTCTTAGTTGACAAGCCATTGAGCTAAAAGTCTAATTAACAAGGCAATGCAGTAATGACTGGAGATGCAATCAAATAGTAGTGTCCAGAGTAATTCTGTTTGCTATTCGTACATGTGTCTGACAACTCAATTTGTACACCAAATGTCATCTTTGGTCCCTCGAATTGGAAAGAATCCTCTAGAAAATCAAATTAGAGTAGATAAGTTTTAAGGGGGCCGCCAAGTGCGACATCAAGTAGTGATATTTTCTTGAGGATACTACTATTTCTGTATAACATTTCAATGTGCATAATTTAGCGTGGCTTATGGTTTTACAAATCGAGTACGATATCTCATTTGTACCGAATCAGTCCGAATTTTGTTGACAAGTAGTTAATATATGTTATTCGCATATGAGTGTGTCGGTAAGATAAAAGAACGTTTTTAATTTTAACAGACAAATAGTTCCTTATCTTTCAGCAATGTTTGTCTTCTTTCTGGCATCAAGATATAATACAGTTCAGTTCCAGTCTCATTACAATAGTCTATTTCTCAAGTCCTAGAGTTAAACTTATGTGACAAACAGTTACTAACCACATATGTGAAACTTACTCGGCCTTAGTATATTTATTGATACCATCCATAATATCTTTGCCAACATGTAAATAAAAAGGATGTTTCGTCGCTCTATATAAAAGGTATGTCGATTCAGCAAATTCCGGACGAAGTGGATAGAAGTACAGTTCGGGTTTCTCAGTCATAATATTATAACGTTCTGGAGGTAAACCATAAATTTTCCAAATGAAATAATGTACAGCATGATGACAAATTGCTTCATTTAGATCACCATGAAGAACCTACATTAATAATAATCATAATAAATAGAAAGAAGTTATAAGTAAACAGCATAGATTGTTATTTCTATTATTAAACTATGAACTATTCAAAAGCATATAAGTACTGGCGGGATAAAATCCTGGCTATTATTCAGGATCAAATCGGAATGAGCTGACTGGGCTATTTCTCGAAGAGGGCAAACATGAAGATTGGTGCAGAATAATATTAGTTCATTTTATGTTGCGAAGTCCTTGTCAGCTGCTTATAACCTATACTATTTCAAAATTAAAGTTATAATAAATATTGACATACTTATATATACGAGGGTGATTAAACATAAATATGTATATCATAATGTAGCGAAGGTTCCAATAGTTAATAAGGTCACAAAAATCGTTTGTTTCCGGATAAATAAATAAAGTTTGAGAAGGAGATTTCCTGAACATCAAACTAGTGATAATAAATCATAGAGTTCACAAACAGTAGATGATTTTGTAATGAACTAAATGAGAACAGATTAATGGTAATAAAGATATGAGCTGAAGACAGTCAATTATGAATTAAAGAAAAATGACAGTGGTGTAACAAAAAAGATGTAATACTACCAGGACAAAGAAAGATTTATTACTGTCTCTTTCTGGATACATAGATCTTGTTTTAGACGTTTTTATCTCTCTGTGTTAATGTGACGTGGTGAAATGAGCCAGTACAGATGTACAAGGTTGTACTCTACGTATGAGTGACCATATAATTGACAACTATTAAAAATTTGATTTTGTGTAAGCTTAAAATTTGAAGTAATAGTTTTTTGTTCCTTGAAATTCTTATCCTGCTCAACACTACCGACTAAGCTCATAGTACTCAAAATACATAAATAAACTAGGCAATTCGATCAGCATAACGTTGCAGCAGTTTGATTAAAAAAGTCAACCGTAAACAACCGGTTGAGAAATGTATTATTTCATAAAAATTCAACCCGAACCAGAATAAAGGTGGATATCTTTGAAAATCATCATTTTGAATGTTTAAACGGTGCCTGCAAGCAGTCGGGTCAGACGCTATAAAACTTTGATACTAAATAACTGGTCTTCAAAGACACTAACATAACTATAGAAATACTCATACTTTTTTCTCTGTATCGTTGTCAGATAGGGTGTGAATGAACCTTTTACTTTGGTTTGTTTCTAATGAGTTGAGGAGAGGGTAAAAAGTTGTTGGAGGTTTAATATAGTTTCCTTTGAAGAGTGTTTTACGTTACATTAGTTCTTGTGTTTACTTTTAGGTTAATATTTTCATCGATATTGCTAGGATGGAGGAGTTATAACTTAATTGATAAGATTATGACATTATTAAGAAATAAACTTACTAATACACCAGACCAGGCTGACTGTAATGTATCTATCCAATGATTGACTTTATTACCAGAAGACATATCAACATTCCAATAGATTGGTGGTGAACCACTACCAGATAAACATTGAGGTCGACCAGTACGTAAATGATGTTGAATACTACTTAATGCCTCATTGAACATTTGTCCCAATTGATTATCACCAAATAGAATATATGCCTAAAATGAACAATATTATTAACGAAAACTGAATAAGAAGGTACAAACTGAGAGTATATATATATGCTTGGGAGATTCTAGCCGATGCTATAAGATTTCAAACGAGATACCATTGTAATATTCCGGTTTCCAAAGATCTGAAGGACAAAAATGAACCATTCCATTGATTGATAAGTAGTCAGTTCGTCCTATCAGTTGATTTGCTATACAATCCATTGGGTTAAATGACCCGATATTGTGATTCAATTTGTACTGATGGTAATAAATCCTGAATATACAATATTTAATTAAATTTCATTTTTACAATAAGCTTTAATGATAATAATATTATGATATAGATTTTTTTCTCCAGTGTCTATGCTAAGTGGGTGTTATATAATTTTCAATATGGCTATTGATGTACAATACAGTTAATGTTTCTTGGAAATGATGATATACTAGAATAGATCGAATCATTTTTAACCATATTGTACACTCGATCAATGTAATATCAGTGCACTGATATTAGGGTATTTGTTAAAAACAATCTATATTTTTTTGGAAAATAACTTTAATCTGAAAATAATATTAAACAGAGAATGGTGTGATATATAACCATGATTGATCATTTTGATTATTTGTGAATAATCCATTCATTTGGAAATATGTTTGATTGTGGCTTTTTTGTAATTCATTTATTAGGCACAAACTTGTTTAAACAAATATTGGGTTACGCTATTTAGGCGAGCGAATAACGACAATCATTCTCAATCTCTCACATCGAATTAAGAGAAACAAGACTAGAACACGTGATTTAATGATTGTCTCGGATTCCATTTCATGTAGGCATTAGTTTAAGCACTACTAAGCATTCCCTAGAATAGGACAAAAAAGATGTCAGAATACCCAGAAGTTTTCAATCCTCTAACAATTACATATATATGCTGACATAGGGTTCGGTCAGGAGAAATTTAGAGGAGTCAAACCAAAAGTAGCATTAGTCATTGACTGATATTCTGACCTATTTTTGTTTATTTAGACTACCTGGTTGGGGTTCGCACAATAATCAGGACCAGAGATTGGAGACTTTGAGTGACGTAGAACCATTCAAAATAGCATGGACTAATTCACTAGTTACTTTGTTCTTGATTTCGAATTCTAATATTCCTTCATATACACATTATCACTGTATTTTCGAAATTAATTTTCAATGCTTAGTTTTTCTTATGTTATCCCTAATAGGCGATTTCAATTTCTTTTGCTATACATTTTTATCAATTTGATCTTGGTAACTTGGGCCAACACATCTATGAAAATCTCTGTCGATGAAGACGTTATATATATAATCGTTTTGTTCAGCTTTGTGTGTTTAGAACTTTGTAGAATTCTCAGAATATTCCGACAAGTTTCTCTTCTCACAGACGTCACTATATATATATATATATAGGCGAAATCAAAAAAAGATTAGTAACAGAGGCTAAAATTTTATTTTACCTTATGTAAATATTCAAAAATGAATCTTGTCCAGCACCGAGACCACTCATTCGATTTATCCATTCACCTGAATCCACATCGATTGTTGAGCCTGTACAAATGCCGAACAATTAAAAAAACAATTGACTTTTCTCAAAGTTGCTGGAATAAATATTACACGGCATATTAGTAGTCACTATTGCCTTGTACGAGGTGAAACAAACGGTTATAGTGAGTACTTTTTACACTATTTGGTTGATATGACAATAGTCACTCGTTAGACAACATTCAGAAGATATCGATGATCGAATAGTAGTGAATTACGCCACGGCTTAATGTGCATACACTGACTTACAGTCGAATAAATTAATATGACATAAACACATACGGAGTTATGACACGTCAGTCAAACAGTACGCCGAATTATAAACAAACTACCTATTTCCCGATCAACTTTATGAAAAGTGTCCAGCACTGATTCAACTAATTTGAACAATGTGTAACAAAATAATTACAGCATACATTTCAATGTAATTGTTTTACCAGGAGTGGTTTTCTGCAATCGCTTTGAGGGACAATATAGTTGTGTGAAGACCAGTGAAACAAGTGGAGAGAGGCTGCAACGTGAAATCTATTGGTTAAAATTTGTGTGCTTTAACTAATTAGGCTACCAATCCATGATGGCCCACGATGAAAAGACTTAAATTTAAAAACCTTATAAAATGTTGATAATTTACAGTAACTGATCCCTAAGGTTTAAACTGACCAGAGTAAATCATAGTTACTTTGATAAATGGACAATATTTGTAATCTTACAATACATCGAGAAGTGAACCCTAACGTTTCGCAAAAAAGTACAAGCCGATTATAAGCAAACATGGATGGTAGTTAGCGGTGGAATCCAGGACCCGCGTTTCGTCCTACTTAGGACTCGTCAGCTGGATATACCTGGATTTCAGAGTTGATGTTCACTCCAGGACTCGAACCCAGAAAAATCCGCTTTAAACATCATCATGTTATGCATTTAGCTACTGAGTCCAGATAGCTACTAGCTTACGCAACGGGGCGAAGTTTAAATTCCTTTTTTTAATGTTTGTTTAAATCAACTGCAGTTTTAAACATCAATGGGAAGACTCAAGCAAACAATATAAACATAAATTATAAGCCGATTATTCAAAGAATATCACAAGACCACATTGGACAGCTATGTAAGCACAGAAAAATTTGATGAAACATTTAACTTTGATATATCCTTCAGCTGAGTGAATAATTCACTACTCTAATACTGTGAACAAAGCTACTTCTATTCGCTTCTTTTCTTCGTCCACTAACTCGAGTAAAAACAACAGTTTAGTACATCAAACTTTCTCATGTTAACTCAGTATGAACAATCAATATACAATAAATTTATCGACTAAATATTAATAAAAAACTATTAGAATATTCAAATTAGGCGCATTCGTTACTAACATAAATCGTCTTACAAACGAAATGTAATTTTATCAATCATGTTTATTACTGAATAATTTACTGTAATAAAATTTCAACCTAAACGAAAATGATTCGCTTCTCATACGTTTTAACTATTGGATTACACATTCCCAACAAACTCTCAATTAGATATTAAAATACAAAAGCTGATCGACCTTACTTTTCGAAACTGAAATTCACCTATCATTTCAAAGAATAAAATATAAACGACCATAAAATAATTAACAGAACAGATGATAGAGAGAAGTAAAATGAAGAAAGAGAATTGCCAGTTTAACATCCTCCGAGTTGTATATTGCAAGCTTACATAAATTAGAATGAGATTGGAAGGATTCAAGGACTCATAATATACAAAGGAAATATTAAGCTATCACGAAATTGAATTGAGATTTTTCTAGTTTAAAGAATTGTCTAAATTTGATTTGATATTTTCTTCTCTGATTATAACTGTTATATATGATTGTAACGAAAATTAGGTCAGTGCTAGTTGATATTCATTCCTTTATTATTTTAAAATTGTACCATATAACCTTTTAGTCACATGAGAGAAAAGAATGAGAATTAATGTAAATTTCAACTGAAACAAGAAACAAACAAACGGTTCGAAATAAAGCGTTTTAGCTTAATCGATTATTAAATGTAGATCAAACACTGATCTGGAAAACTTTTCCAATACAAACAAAAGATCTTAGAAAATGAAAGAGTCATGAATGTCTTTTAGATTTTTAAAAAGAAGTTGAAGTGTCAGATGCTTATATTGTAAACTATACAGGTATTTGATAATTAAAATTTTGAGGAGCAAAACACCTAAATAGATGGGTACTAAATAAATGTAAAAATAAACTGAAATGTTTTGTATTAATTTAATGTAAGAAAAATTACATTTGCACAAGTTCTCATGCTGAAGAACATAAAGAAAAGATGTAACTCAGGCACATATGTGCATCGGTCCAAATTACCATACTCATTAGCACAATAAGGTGAACACCGGATTCATAGCAGTAGTTACTTCAACGCTAGTAATATATAAGAGAAAGATTGTGTATAAGGATATAGTACAGGAAGAAAGAATTAGTTCATAGAAAGAAAGATATGAAGCGATTTTAATTTTTATAGTTTAAGGGAAGACAGAGAGTGTATACACCTACGCGATTGTGATCGATCCTGAGCCATGTCACCAAGAGTCTCCAACCACTGATTATGATAGCCACGCGGACCCCAACTAAGCAGTCTGCATCTACCAACATGGCTCAGACCAGAAATTAGTGACTTCAAGCGCTGAAAGTAACATAAGTGTGTTTTTGAAACTAATTGTTTTACTACCCCATTAATTGCTGATTAATTCAGGAGCGGCATAATTTATGACAATAAGGCATTTTAATATGTATGAGTAATACAAACGACAACAAACTATTCGCAAAAGTAAAAATTACTATTTTTAAAACTATTGAAAATTCCCATTATTGCGTCATGTAATTACATGATCAGTATTATTTCGCGATCAAAAACTTATTGAAAAGAAATATTTTCACTCTATTCGTCCTTTTTTATTTTCGTTTTTATTATCGTTTACTAATCTCATGATTAGTATTAACACTTTTCACACCTAGTTGATTGTTAGAATATTCATCAGGTATCAAGAAGTTTGAAATACAAACCATATCATGTAATCTCTCAGGCAACCATCACAAATTAATAATACATATTGAATATAAGTAAGTGAATACAATGTAAGAGGATCTTTTTAAATCGGATAACCAATTTTGTTATTAATTCTGAATAAACCCTCAAATAATGATATACAATAATATACATGTATATAGCATAATCGTACTAATACTAAAACATGACAATGTTTTGTAAGACAAATAAGTGAGCCAAATGGAATCTAATAGAGTAAGAACCATCTAATTATTTACTTGCATGTGCTGACTAAATATTTGCAAAAAATAAAGTGGGTTAGTGGACCATAAACAACAGACAAGAAGGTAAGACTTACCGAAAAGTCCAGAAACACTTGAACGCTTTTTCCATAGATTTAAAACAATGCGGCGAGCTATCGAAGCGTAACTAGAATCATTGAGTAATGCACTTAAGGAGCCGAATTCCAGTAATAAGGAGCCAGCACCAGCGAGGCAGTTTTCAGTTGTTGTATTATCTTTCAGACCAGAATCTAGGTGAAATCTGGGGTAAGGTATCCCAGTTGGTGTGTCCTTTAAATCAAAGCATGAAAGGAATAAATACAATAGTGTCAAAATGGTGTTCAAAAGCCGAAAGTAGGGTTCGAACTGACGTTCCGGAACTGACTAAAAACATGAAAAATTACCACCCTTGCAAATAACCAAACAGAACACTCAAAATAACGGCCTAGCTGATTCCTGGCATTCTTTAAAGAGCTTATCAGAGCGTTGGGCACGCGGTAAAGACACTCAACATTAAACGACAATATTTCAGGTTAGAAACCCAACCGAGCTACTATAGTCTGGGAAGCCGGGTAGTATGACTAGCTCTTATAACTAAAATTACGGTCGAAATAAATATACAAATTTGAACTTGGTGAGTTACACCTAGTAATGTCATCGTCTAAATGAGATTAATCCGATTTTCGAAAAAGTAAGCAAGTATGGGAGGAACCAGAGGTGATCAATAGAACCTGGCTCAGGAGGATGACTCTTAACAAAGTATACCAGAATCACCAGTCACATTGATTTATATTAAACGAAGTGTACGTAGTTCGGTGGTATCTCCTCACAACAGTATATATATTAAGGATGGTCAGAAACCGATCGTATCTAAATACTGGTCTGCCATTCTAACTAGCATCGTTATTAAGTTACTTGAAAAGATAATTCAGGTTAGGTTGTTAAGCCACATAGATTCACACAATCTCTTAACTCTCGAGCAACATGGATTTCGTAACAAGCGTTCATGCTTGACTAACTTGCTTATTGCGAGAGAGGATTGGACAGCAGTCTTAGATAACGGTCTGTCTGTCGATGTGATATTCATAGATTTTAGCAAAGCATTTGACAACGTTTCAAACTCAGGTCTTATGCAGAAGCTTTCGAGTTTCGGAATAACAGGTGCTATACAGGAATGAATAGGAAACTTTTTATGTGACCGCAGACAGAGAGCGAGGATCAATGGAACGCTATCCGAATGAGAGCCGGTCAAAAATGATGTACCCAAAGGCACCATCTTAGGCCCTCTGCTCTTCGTTCTCTACGTTAATGAGTTACCACTGTTGTCTAAGTCGTCGACATTATTGTTTGCGCACGACGTAAAAATCTGGAGACAACAAAAAGTGAGGCTGGTCATTTGGATCTCCAAGCTGACTTGGACGATTTAGTTAGACGGGCTGGAGGTTGGTGCTTAGAAGTACTCATGCACATCGGACATGGTAATAATTACCATTATACTAATGATGGTACATCTCTTCCACGCGTTCAAGAACATGAAGACTTAGAAGTAGTAATAAGCAATGACTTGAAAAAAACGCATTGCAATGCAGCTGCTGTCAAAGGTTTTCGTGCGTTATGGTCACTTCGCCTAGCATTCAAATGCTTTGACGAGGAAATGTTTCGAATTTCATATTTCACCTATGTAAGACCACACTTAGAGTACTGTATCCAAGCAACTGGTCCATGTCTGATAAAGGATATTAACTCACTTGAGCGTGTTCAGCGTGTGGGAACAAAATTAGTGGAGGATTTTTCTAAACTCCTTAACGATGAGCGCTTAAAACGCCTAAACCTTTCCCCTTGTCGTATCGTAGGACGCGAGGTGACCTTATACTGGCATTTCATATCTTAGATCATGATTTGAGTGTTATGTCTTTTCTTCTCGCTCCGTCGGGCACTAATAATCTCTGAGATCATAGCAAGAACGTTCATAAACCGCTATCTAATAAACTTAATGTGGGATCCCGATTCTTTCATCGAGTAGTCAATCGCTGGGACGCTTATCCGAACAAGTGGTACCAGCCCCACCAGTGAGTATTTTTAGAGAGAAGCTGGATCTTCGCTGGAAGGCAATCTGTCAGGATTAACATATGTTCACCAACCTACTATCCTTATTAGTGAAGACTGAAGACAGCTTTAAAGTTTAGTCTGGTCTGGTCATCTTTAAGAAAGCCCTGGTGGATCTTATACGGAATCCAAATTACTTACAGGTTGATAGACAATTGTTAAACGTGTTAAGAGGAAAACTTACGTAAAGAGCGTTCAGCATCCGATTCGCTAGATTATGTGCATGGTTCAGTAATTCATCATCATATCCCGGTGGTCGCAGACGACCAAATGACTCAGTTGGGTCTGTAATGATTATATGTGCTGATAAAAGACCTCCTAGGACTCTGAGACAATACAATTGACTAGTAGCTTACCTAATAGTTGCTTCGAAAACTTGAACCCTTGTCTTTTGATTAAACGAAAGGTGTTTGATGACTAAACTAACTGCATTTCTAAAATCTTCGGTTTTGCCCATGATCTAAAGTCTAAGTAAATAACTGTATATCACTTACTGCTAATGTATCAAGAGAGTCTATAAGCGTGAGTAAATAGTCACCAAGAACATCGTTCACATTTATATTATCAGGATTTTCGTGATCATAACCACGGCCAACGCAGTCAATCGGGTTTAGTTCATCATAAGGGAACCCATATTTTAAGTAACTATCATATGCGAAACTAAACATGTCATAAATCGAGTTAGCAAGCAATTTCTTGTCACTACTAGACATATCCATATTTAAGAGGTTTAACCAACGCCTAGAATTGGTGGGGTTGCTGTTTTTGGAAGTGGAAGGATATGCATAGTGAAAGTCTATCCAAAACAAGTTGATAATCGTAAGGCCTAACAAGTTACCAAACCTCATTGCAACTGAGGTTTGACAACAACTCGTGAGACATTCGAACGTGGTGTTTTCAGGTCATATCATACGTAACATACTTGATCCATTAAAAAAGGGCGATCATTACGAAAAAATCTGGTTGAAAAGCACTAAGTAGATAACAAATTCGGATGTTTACAGTTCAAAAGGAATGTTCTATAAATTTGCGATTTACAGTGTCGTAGTTAAACATTAGCCGCGCTATTTAAAAAGGACAGTGGTATAAATTTTATATGGTATGATATTGATTGTTTAATTTCTAGTCAAGACTAGCCGCCTGAACTGAATTTATTTCAGTTAAACTTATCTCCAAAGGTATAACTTTATTCTAGAGAAGTTCATCTTTTGAACTTTTTGAGTACAGACACAAAACGGCACTGGTATTATTTCCTCTTTGAGTATATCTTTTAGTATGTTTGTATCCAAATGTGTCAAGGTCTTTTTGTAACTACTGAAGGCGAATTTCTTCCTTGTTGTTAAGTACAGTAATACACAAACCTCTGTTTTTGTTTGTGTTCTGTGTCTATCACCTGTCAAGCCCTAAAAGGCACCATTACTTGAGATCAGTTTTCCCTGTTGTTCTTCCTGTGAGGTCATAAAACAAATTTGTGACGGACCTGTGATCTATTTCCCTGTTGATGATGGAGTGCAGTGTGACGACTGCAATAACTGTTATCACGGTGTGTGCACCGGAATCACACCAGCTGCATATAAAATGTGTTGCAAACCACTATCACGTTAGTTGTGCAGAGCATTCTGTGGTCAGATAACTACCCTCCCACCTCTGAGAAGAAGTGATCATGCAGTCATCTTATTCAAATTCATAGCTGAGATGGCCTGTCAAACTGTTGTGCTGACCTGTCCCAACATATGGAACCACTTCTAGACGAAGAACTAGACTCAAATACAAAGTCAACAATCCGTCTCTTCATCGTGGACTTTCATCAAGACGATGCACTTAAGACTCTCGGCACTTTAGACACTGAAAATTCAACGGGACAGGATGGACTACACCCCGAAATCCCAATACAAATTGCATAATATACTGCAGCCCCACGAACTGTGATATTCGATGTGTCACTTGACCAAGGTGGGTTGCCTACGAACAGGAAGGTTGCAATCGTCACTCCAACACATAAAAGAGGAGCAAGACAAGTTGCATAGAACAACAGATCTGTCAGTCTCAGCGTTGTCGTAGTTAAAATACTGGAAAGAATAGTCGAAAAGACCATAACGGCACTTGTGAAAACAAACAATTTCTTAAACAACCTCTCAACACTGTTCGTGACTTTGATTTATGATATAGCAACAGTCTGAACTTTTCTGAGCACATTGCATCTCAAGTATCCAAAGCTCGAAAGCTCATCGGACTCACAAGGATAAGTTTTAATAGTACCGAATCGAGATTATTATTACACAGAAAATGTATCTACCCATTCTTGAATATGGTATTTTAGCTTACAGTAATTGCAGGCATAATGACTTGATTAAAATTAAAGGTGTTCAAAGAAGGTTCACCAGAGCTGTACTGGGGTATTCCGACAACAAAGACTATCACCAAAGATGTCAACAACTTAAATTAGAACCTCTCAGGATCTGATGTATCAAATTAAACCTAGTCTTTATCTACCGGCTTATTAACGGTATTTCCTACTCTTCGGTATCCACCCCTTCATACTCTATGATATCATCCCACAATCTACGCAATGAGGAAAATATTCTAGCGATTTTAGGAACCCACACAAACTTGCGCCATAGTTTTTTCGTTATTCGCTGCTCAACCATGTAGAACAGACTGCCAGTTAACCTCCGTTGCAGTGAAACTACAACCCGGTTCAGACGTTTCCTTAATGATTTTCTTTCCGAACGTGGATTGTGTCGTTCTAGTATCTCTAGGATACTCAAACAACTCTTCATGCACGGTGCCCGGATACGGGAGTAAACATATTTTAAGATGGAGTTCCGTGAGTACATTTTTGACAACAGAAGGACTACAGATCACACTAAAGTCCGCTGCGCAAGGTGGCTTGAGACAAAACCATCATGAGCACCTAAATCAGTTAGTATTATCGACCAACCTTCCAGTATTGCTACAATTTCAAGAAGCACTTAGGATCTAAAAACTAGTTTGTTGAACATGATTTTCTAATTAATATATGTAGGGTCCAAACCACGTTTGGACTGCTGGACAGCTGCCTGGATAAGTTGGATACGCGCCCTCGCCCGTTTGAAACCAAAACAAGGTAATTGGGTAAGATAGCGGTTCTAAACAAATATAATCACACAGCTATCCAACCAATAATTGTTTAATTGATCAAATCTAAACAATCACCACAAATAAATGTTATTCTATCCTGTCTGGATAGATCACGTACAGATTCGTTCAAAAGGTAATAATTGGTCGCTCTATAACACAGAGTGTTTTCAATTCTGGAAGAGTGCTTCAATTCACAACCAAAATGCACAATTCCAGTCAACACAGGTCAAGCAATCAAAAGTAGGAACCAACCAAAATGGCTGCCGCTCAGACTTAGTATAAAGTAAAACAACATAAGTGCAGTTCGGGAAGAAACATGGGGAATTAGTGAAGGTGTGGTAAAAACAAAAACTATAATAAAATACAAAGATTAACAATTCAAATGTAGTCCAAAAGTTAACAATATACAACTAAGAAGATCAATAGGAACAAAGTGCAAGTATATACATGGAGGGATTTTCACAAACACACAAGGCATTCAAAATGGATCTTACACCGGCCCCCAAAATCCCTCCATATCACACAAGCTACCTTGATGCCTATGGTCATGGTTCATTATGTAGCATATCACACTATAGGAACGAGTAGGACTTACAACAGTACGCCTACTCGACCTACCTACATTGATAACACGAGGAACTAATTCGAGCCTTCAAGGAGGCATAATCTACGTATATCTCTCCTGACTAATCCACCGTTCGTACGAACAACCACTGTTCTAACTCTTCCGTCGTCATCTATTTCACAATCTTCAACTACTCCTAAGGGCCACTTTCCACGGGTCGATATGTCCGAAGCCACGATCACAACATCCCCTTTCTGAAAGTTGCGGTGTTCAACTAACCACTTTTGACGTTTTTGTAGGGACGGTAAATACTCTCTTAACCACCTTTTCCAAAACACATTAGCAAGATGATTAATCTGTTTCCAACGTTTGTCATATTTATCTCTGATGCTACCTTCTTCGACTATTCCGTCACATTCTCTCAATAATAACAAACTATTTGGCGACAAAGCTAGTTTATCGTTAGCATCTTGAACGACCGGAGTTAAGGGTCGATCGTTCAATATCCTTTCAATCTCGATCAAATAAGTGTTTAAAGTCTCATCGGTTAAAGTCTGCTCTCTAGTTATCAACAATAACAGTCGGCGTATGGACCTAATCATCCTTTCCCAAACTCCACCCCTGTGGCTGGATGAGGGCGGGTTAAAATGCCATTGAATTTGTCTAGCTGACAGTTCTTTGTCTATTTTCTGTTGATTCAACTGTTGCACAAATCTCCTTAATTCAGAGACCGCACCCACGAAATTTGATCCATTGTCACTGTAAATTTCGGCAGGTTTCCCTCTTCTTCCAATAAAACGTAACAAGGCCATTATAAACGAATCAGTATTCAAACTATGTGTCATTTCAATATGTACTGCTCGGGTTTGCAAGCAAGTAAACACACATCCATATCTTTTTTCTAATGATCTTCCTCTTTTGACAAAAAGGGTCCAAAGTAGTCTACTCCCACGGCTGAGAAGCTATACCATCCTTGTTGCACTCTACAAGCTGGAAGTGGTGCCATCAATTGTTGCCCTGTAACCATCGTATACCGCCGGCATGTCACACACTTTCCTATCACTCTCTTAACCGTGCTGGTTCCTTTTATTATCCAATACCTTTTTCGAATCGTGGCCAGTACTTGTGACGTTCCTGTGTGCCCTTGTTCCTTATGATAATGTCTAATTATCATTTCTGTCACTAAGTGTCGACTGGGCAATATTATTGGATGTTTAAAGGCATTTGAGAAATCTGAGTAGCTTAGTCGGCCTCCAACACAGAGTAACCCATCAAGCATTATCGGTGATAAGCCCTTCAGATCATTGTGACTAACTACTTTACCATTGTTTTTAAATCCACTAAGTATTTCTCCATACACTTCTTTCTGAACCATCAACAAAATTTTACGCTTGGCGACGTCAAGTTCTTTGACCTTTAAACACCCTAGATGAACGGATCCTTCATGACTCGGTGAACGAAGCACCATCAGAAATTCTATGAACCTTCTAAGCCAGGCTACGGCCCTGACTAATTTCAACCACTCGGAGTAATAAGAGAGAATAGGTGACATGTTGTGCTTTATACTACTCAAGTTAACCACAGCAGTTTTTCTAAACTCAATATCGTCAGGAGTAGGTTCCGGACAGTCAGTGATTGTTGTACAGAATTCGCCATGCAGTAAGGTAGGACATTTGAACCAAGATTCCAGATCAGTCATTTTTTGTATACCTCTTGATGTCCAATCAGCTGGATTCTGTGACGACTTTACATAATTCCATTGTTCAACCTTCGTATACTGGTGCACCACAGCGAGGCGGTTGGCTATATAGGTGCTATATCGGTTCTCAATATTCTTAATGTAGTATAACACTATCATGGAATCTGTATGGAAGTTTACTTCACAGAAAAAATTAGGCAGACTTCTCCGTAATACTTCACTAAGCCTCACACTTAACACCGCTGCCGCCATCTCAAGTCTCGGTATAGTGACTTGTCTGATAGGTGCTACCCTAGACTTGCTGTACAACAAGATACAATATGGTGGCTCCTTCAAATAGCTGACTCGTGCGTACGCAACTGCTCCATAACCAACCTCTGAAGCATCACTGAACAAGTGCAATTCCACTTTCGCGTCGGGTTCGTCGATTCTCCTCTTGATACCTCGAGCTACCGTGACGTGAC